TTGTTTCCCGGCGAATGAATCATGCAGTATGGGATTTTTTTCCCGGGCTCAGTTTATGGCTCTGAGACATCTTTTGTTCGAAGATCCTTCGCAACGATTCTCGACGGGGAAAAGAGAGTGTGGCTGGCTCTTCCAAACACATAGCCCTGCAAGAAGTCCAATTTTTTACAACCTGAATTCCCAAGTCTACTTTACTCGATACTCCAATATTAAGGGATAGTGATAGACTAACAGAAAGACCATGGGTGCTTACCATTTACATAAACCACTCGGGTGGAAATCTTGTGCATATACATAAACATTCTGACGCATGATGGTTAAACGACCCGCTACAAAGTATGTTCAGATGATTTGAATATACGGAATGGCGCAAACCATTAATCTCGTACCCAGATCCCCTAAAGGAAAAACAGAGTGAGATCTGGGTACGAGATTAGCGAACCATTTGATTTTCCAACCGAAATTTCCGGTTTCCTCATGTAAAGGGGGAATTAACCCAGCTCTCTTGACAGGCTGTTAAAACCAAAATGGCACGGACTTCGTCATTAATTTCATATCGATTTCATAGGGAGAACGAAAGTTATAAAAAAAATCACGCTACCGGCATTGTTTGAAAGATGAAACAAATCTATATACCAACATTACAAAGGAGGAAGGAATCTACACTATATGCAAAGCATATCTGAATTCTTACTGCAAACGTCACTTGGAGATCTTAGAAGAAAACTTGCCTCATTCCGATTGACTTGAATAATATCTTTAAACCCTCAGTGATGGGAACGAAGGTCGACGTTGCTTTCGCAAATATCTTTATGGTAAAAGTAAAAACAGAAATTATTTAACAAAGGGGCTTTAAAGCTAAGCCAGCCTCCTGGAAAGGGTGTACAGACGACCCTCTCTTGCGATACTATACAATTAATTAATATTTATTATTTAATTAATATTGTTATTACAAAGGGGAAAGGTTCAACAGCATGTCAATTATCGGCCTCGGCACACATTTCAAGCAAACTACTGAATGTTTCCACATTTCAGTTAATTTTTGGTTTATAGTTATAGTTTGCTTTGCTCTCTGATTTCCCGTCTTTTGCTTTCTTTAACAGCTCCTTTCGTTGCTTTTTTTTTGTTTAAGCACCAGAATCATGTGGCTACTCCAGAGAAACCAAAAATTATTGGGAAAATGGCAAATGTGCCTACTGCAATCATCAAGAGAAGTCCTCCTGCCACAACATATTTCGCGTGTGTTTTGTTTTTATTAGCTTCGACGTCTTTTTACCCAGTGCGCACGTGCAGACAGATACCTACGCCCCTGACTTAGCTGAAAAGACTGGGGCGTACCTAGACGTTTTTTTTTTAAAGATAGCACCACGAGGGAGTAGAGAGGAGAAGTCGTTACGTCACGTTGCCATGGTAGCAAAATTTCTGGATGACAACAAACAGAAAACATCATTTAAAAAGTGAATTCACACTGTTTTAAACTTAATCGATTATATCGAATGTCATTTCATCTGCCAAATGTTGGCGAATTTTCAGGGGTTGAATCCGAAAGGACCGTATCTAAGTTTAGAAAAAGAAAAAGACAATATTTGTGTTGTGTTCACATACTCCATAATGTGGGCGCGTGAAATTAGGAAGTCTCATGTCGCAGTCGAGTAACGCAGCAAAGAAATGTACAAAAAAGAGTGCTGCATTTACAAAGTTGTTGTTTTGCTTATCTAACCTATCGCTTTTTTGTCGCTCTCGTTGCCGTCGCCGTCGTCGTTGCTTTAGGGAACTTAAGTTAGAGACGTTTTCGGGGCGACGGCGACCGGACTGGCAGAGCAAGCCTGGAACAGAGGTTACCGTCGCTTCCCTCCAAAATTCGAACATTAAGATCGCAGTGAACTCAGGAGGACGGCGCCTTGGAAGACTACCGAAGAGGAAAATATGGCTGCGCATAAAGACTTAAGAGAATTAATGCTTATTTGCTTGCATGCAACAACAACAACAACTCTATTTCAGTATTCCCACGTTAGTACGTGGTATTACCTTCTATTCTAAACAATTTTCAATACATACGTTTACATACACACAATTAAAATATCGGAGTTCATACTTTTGGTCTGGACACTTTCATTTGGCTCGTGGGACAATTTTGTCCATGTAAAGCTCACTTACGGTTTGCTGTTTGCCATATTGGATCAGATTGGATCTTGACTCTGTGACATGAAACATAGAAACATTATAAAGATGTAAGTGTAGACAGAGCTTGGAGATCGAGCTTGAAATGTGACTCAAAGAAAACAAGGACCATTTAAGAACGATAATCTGCAAATTCTTGTTGCTAAACGCAACTAACCTCATTGAAATGAAATTTAAATACTCACATTCTCGCCACAACGCCAAACAGACCAGTTTCACGTCGCCGAGGGGAGCACGACGGCAATGTGGTGAGCAAGAGCATGCCGCAGCAATATTGCACAAACCATGACGTCACGTCCGGTTGAAGTTGCCGTCGCCCCGAAATAAGTTCCATTTTAGCTCTCTATTGTTGTGATCCAGAAATTTTGCTTCCATGGTAACGTGAAGTCACACTTCTCCTCTCTGTTAGAGCACCAAATTAAGAAGCAAACCTTAAAATAAACAAGGCTACTTCCACCTCCTGAAAATTTTAAATCGAGACGCTCTGATATGCTATTTTAAGGGTTTTCCCCACAACATATTTGGTAAAAAGATAGCGGTGAGTAAAATGACCTAATAATAATGTTTATTTCTTATATTGCGCAGTCTAGCATGCGATAAAGATATGATTACAACACTAAATAATAATGTTTAATTCTGATCTAGGCATTCTGAGGCATTTTTTTAATTACAATACGAAGATTGACGTTTTGAAGAAGAGCTTGTCAACGCACTGGTTCGGTATTGAGAAGTCATCAGTTCCCATCCAAATAACTGTTTAAAGGATAATTCATATTTCGCGTAGGCCTCAACGAGCCTTTTCAAACCGGGGAAAGAACTCTGCTTCTGACTGACTTCTGATCGAAGACTGACCTCTACCTCCAGAGACAGCAACCGAGATGTTAAACGGAGGAAAACGAGGAAACGTTTCGGCTGCACTTGCATGGGGGACTGCAGTATGGCTTTCATTTCCTGTGGCCAAGCAAAGCAACTGAGTTTCACGGTTGATAGTGAAGTCAGATGCACACGCCAGTGGGTGTAACTAAAACTTCCCACTAAGGAGAAGCGATTAGAGGCGACTGTATTCGAAAGCTTCCTTATTCACAGCAGTTGGCAGGATTACAATCTTCGCAAGACTAAATATTGTAATCCTCGACTGAGCCGCTATGAAATTATCGAAACTGGGGTTTCTTGGCCTGACTGGTTCTACTTTATGTAACGCTATTTGCTCTCTTTTTGAAACTTGTCTTCGCATCATTTTTATTCCAAAAACAATGGCCCCGTTTAGTTATTTAAGACTATATTTGGACATTGAAACTGTTTGCTGCCGTCTTTTGCAATGCCATGGCAAGGATGGACATGGATTGAATCTCAAATACCTTTTTCAAGTTTTAAGAGACTTTTAAGCGGCTATGCTTGCAAAAATTACCCATGGAAAAAAAATTTGGTAGGTCCTTCCTGATGAAATTTGTTTGACATCTTCAAATCTCTAACGGAGCACTAAGTAACTGATTCCTGTCCTTATTCGCTATGGAACTTAGAAAAATACTAGTCTCGTGAACTTGTTCGGAACGAATGTTTTTTCCTCCTCCTCTTTAAACACGTCGTTATTAATGGGGACCAGTCAGAAATAAACAAAAAAGAGGGTGTATTGAAAAAAAAAAGAAAGAGGAAGAAAGAAAAAGCGTTTCGGTCAGATGATGGGCTATAGGAAACATGGGTTTTGACTAAATAATAACGGTTAAATTTTTGTGTAATAAAGTTGAATCACTCACATTGAAGTAGTCTTCCGCGGCTCTCGTTTCTGGTCAGTTCTACTACTGTACTTTTATGTGAGTAATTCAATGCTGTATTAAACAAAAATGTAACCTTTATTTAGTCGAGCCCCTGTTCGATATAGCCCATGGCTAGATGTATTTTTTTCTGTTGTGGATTCTGTTGGTACACAGAACTCGGAGTGATTGAGTTTCAGCTAAAAACTCCAGGGAAATCTCAATTAATATTGCAGTTACGATTTCCAGTATTCTTTACTGAATCAAAACAGCAGGTCTGATGGACTCTCGTTGGCTGTGAATCAGTATAAAGCGCTTGATCCAATTCAGTGATTACAATGCATTAATTATTGTACAAACTATTTTGCCAAAAATGAGGGAGATTGAAGGGAATTTAAAGAAACGTTATGCTAAATTAGTTGCTCAAATTTGACTTGGTCCTTGTCATTGGATTAAAACTCAGTCAGATATAGCTTGTATATCTTGGTTTCCCTATGATATCCATAAGAACTGTTACTGTTATATATGGGTCATCTGTCTCATCCTCAGGCGCGAATTGCGAGTGACTGGTGACGAAACGCAAAGGACCATGGGAAGGAAAAAGGAGGCGAAGCGATGTCTCGTCTGTTTTCTCCTTCCCTCCTTCCTTTGCGCAAATGAGAGAAACACTTCTTGGTACAAGAAAGGGTCATCCTATTTACTACCGAGCTTCTGTAAGCATAATAAGAAACTCTTCCGAGGAAGTCTCTTGCCGGGCTTAGCCGTCTTAATATAATTAGTAAATTATTCAGTAGACAGTCAAGTCTCTTCTCCTATGAACACATTTCCGTAAAATATAGTTTTTAGTTAAAATTACAGCCAGTAAATTCGTAAATAATGCTTTTGAAGGATGATGATAAATTATTGTAAAAGTTTAATATATTCAGAACTGTGAGAAAAATGGTAAAAAGTCATCAGGAAATATTATTAAAAAATATGGAATACATGCATGCATGCATGTAAGGGATAAGTGAAAGGTGACTGTGATCGATATTTAACCATAATATTATATTCTGAGGTCATCATAAGTTCAAGACGCCATACAATTGAAGTATAATTAAAATCTTTATTTCCAGATACGTGTTTACAGTTAAACTGTTAGTAACAGAAAAACATATAATTCGGTATCCTTAGATGGTGAGTTACGTATTCATCAACTTAAATCTAATCGATTACTTTGATTAACTATTCCCTCTTATCTTATCTTATAAATGTTTTGTGTCTACTCCCTTAAGTGCGATACTGAGATCCGGTAAAACCGAAGCAGTGAGACGAGATTATTTTTGCCCACAACTGATATCGCCTCCGAGGTCATCAAAATTGATGTGACACCATCCGTCACTGCTTTGGTCCACCAATTTGACATGTGCTGTTCGACCAACAAAGGCATGAACGTCCCAGAATTTGCGAGACATGGTTTCATTACATGAACCAGTAGAACTTTTGACAACCTGAAAAAGAGAGGCAGATGCAATTCAGCTTCTTGCAAGCGACCCCTCAAACTGACTGATGACAAGCTAAGGGAGTCTTTTGCAAAATGTGAAAGACACTCTGAACTTTCAAGAAAAAAATGCTTAATTTTAATATAGCTATTGCGCAGTCTGAAAAGTTAGGAATTCATATATACATGACAGTGTCTACATAATGGGCTACATAACCTAGCTAATATATGGGAAGGATTAAACAGAAGCCATGACGTTTCTGTAGTCGATTGACTGGAATATTCATTAACCTCGGAAATACTTCTCTTATATCACAAAAATGTCAGCAAAACTCAGTTAGGCATTCGTAAAGTATAAAGGAAAATATCATATTAATTGCTAGGTGTTGCACCTATTATAAAGCCGAGTTCGAAACTGTAGTGAAAAAATATGCCACAACAAACTAAAAACTGAAAGCAAGTCTGTCAGGCTGTCTTACTTGGTGATCAACAATCAACTCAGCACGAACTTTCTTAATGTCACAGCCTCCTCCAATCAAGAATGATATCCGTTTGCCAACGATCTTAAAGAACGGGGAAGCAAGAGTTCCTTGGGGACCATCTCCCTGAATTGCCCCAGGGGTTGCTGCCTTGGATGGCCTGTTTTCCGCCCCTCCGATCCACCAGTCCCCCTGCTGATTGGCAGGTTGTCCTCTTTTGCGAGCTGTTGGATTATCACCGTAGGTAGGTTGATTGTTAAATGCTGTTCCAGTCCTTTTCCAACCACTCAAGCCCGTTTCGAAGTCGAATTTGCAAGCTTTAGAAGAAAAGGAAACAGACTTTTTTTGAATGATGTTACAGATGAATATAGATCGATTTCACAACCTGAATTTCATTTCATCAGTAGGATGTGAAAGCCGCGGAGTATTGACAGCTATAGGAACTGATCTTAGGATAGGGGTAAAATTCAAAACACAAGTATTTATGGGAAAATCCTATCGATAAACTAGTTATTGATGGACAAGCGCTAAGATGTTACTCCAATCCACAACAAATAACTTAATAATTACACTAAATAGTAGCTTTGCTGGCATTCATAATTGCCAGAATTCGAACCGTTTTGTCGGAGGCTAATAGTGCAGAGAAAAAACGCCAGTAATTACTTACCACATCGATTCGCGTCGGGTGCATTGCGGAAATCTTTTCATCCAAAGAAACTAAACTCTTTTGTA